GCGCTCCTCCGTTTCCTTCTCCGGCGGTTCCGCCAAGGCCTTCGCCGTTCCCCGGCCTGGAGCCGAGGCTGAGGCCGAGGCCGCCCTTAGCTTCCTCCTTGGCGTCGGCCTCGCTGCCGCCGGGGCTGGGCGAGCGGGTCTCGTCGCTGCAGCAGCCGCTGGAGGAAGACGACGACGAGGAGGAGGAGGAGGAGGAGCCGGCGCTGCTGCCGGCCTCGGCCTCCTCCTCGTCGTCCTCCACCTCTTCTTCTTCTTCCTCCTCCTCCTCTTCCTCCTCCTCTTCTTCCTCTTCGTCCTCTTCCTCGTCCACCTCGTCGTCGTCGTCTTCGTCCTCATCATCCCCGTCGCCGGCCTGGCTGGCGCTCTCCGGGCTCGGCTCCGACATGCTTTCCGTCCCTTCCCCGTTCAGGGGCGGCGGGTCGGCCTCCATCCCCACAGCCAAGGACGTCGACGGCGGGGGGGTGGAGCAGAAGAAGAACAAGGAAGTGGGATGTGCACCACACATAAAGAAGGAAGCAATGCTAATGGATGACAGTGGGAAGACAGAACGGCTGAACACTCTTCTCTCTCTGCCTCTTACTTCTCCCTAAAGAAAGAAGGCACTGGACCTAGTACAAATAGAGTGAACAATGCAGGGATGGTATTGTTTCCCAAGATCAGGCCCCTCGCTTTCCCTCCTCGCCTCAGGCGCGCCCCTCACAAGACACGCACCGCGAGGCCGCCGCCACCACCGACCAACTCCCTCCCTCCCTCTCGCTCTCTCTCTCTCACGCGCGGGCTGCCTAGCGAGACCCAGCCAGGCGCGCGCGGAGAAGTGGGGCGGGCGGGGGAAGAGGAGGAGGAGCTTCCGCTGGGAGGGGTGAAGAACGGTGAGGAGGCGGCGTGCGCACGTCCGCGGTACGGAAGCCGCCTGGGGTCAAAAGGGAGAGGGGGTGCGCCGGAAAAAAAGAGGGAGGGCGGAAGGCGGAGCTTCACGTACCGAGCAGTTGGAGGCGTGGCGTGGCGGAAGAATTTGAATACAGGGCTGTGCTTGTGTGGAGGAAGTAGGGAGGGGGCACCTTTGAAAACGGGAGTTTGGGAGTCGGGTGAGGGTGATTGGAATCTTTAAAAAAAAAGAAAAGAAAGAAAAATCATCAAGAACCAACACAAAAGCTCATTTCCCTCCAACTCTTGATTTTGGAGGGAAATTATGGATCAAAGGGGGCTGCAGGTTGGACGCCCAGCCCCACGCAGGGTGATTCAAAATAAAAATAAATTATTTTTTAAAAAAACAAATTGATTTACATCGCAATAACAATTTTAATAATCGGATTTTTTTTACAATTGACATTTTTTTAAAAAAAATGGTTTTTAACCGTTTCAATAAAAAGTGGTTTTTAAAATTTGAATCGTGAATCAAATCGATTTGATTTTTTAAAAAAATCATAGATTAGGATCCACCCTGGGTGGAACTGGGCACCCAACCTGCAGCCCTCTTTAAGTCACCATTTCCTTCCCAAAACAGAGTTTGGGGGATGCATTTTTGTGTTGGTTTCTTGATGCTCTTTTAGGAGGACTTGAATGTGTAGTGTCCGTGTGGTGTGAGTAATGGGCTTTGGGAGCCCCCTATGAGCCAGTAAAACTCACTGGGGTGCTTTCGGGCATATTTTCTCTCATTCTACCACACAAGGTGGTGGTTTATTTAAAATATGTATACTGTATCTGGAGGAGAGCTTTGGAGTTACCCTGGATGGACAGAAAGACAAACAAGTGGGTAACCAAGCCTGGACTAACTCTGGGACAAACATATTGAAACTGAGGCACTTTGGGCACATCACGACAAGGCAGGAGTCTCTGGAAAAGACAATAATGCTGGGAAAGGTGGAAGGTAGCAGGAAAAGAGGAGACCAAGTTTGAGATGTATTGACTCCCCTTGGGAAGCTATAGGCTTGAGTTTGCAAAATCTGAGCAGGGCTGTTGAGGGCAGAACATTTTGGAGATTGCTCATTCGTGGGGTCACCATAAGTCAAGGGCAACTTCATGGCGCATAAGAACAACATGCTCACTGGAAGAAAAGCAAGTGATAAATGTAATAAATAAGCTGTGTCTGAAGAACTGAATTGTGATCTACAAAAAAACAAATAACAGTGTTTAGCCACAATAGTTTTTCCTTTTTGTTTAGTGTGCTTAGAGTTCTGCACTAAACAGTTAATTGCATCTTATTACCAGCCAAAATCCTACTGGTATAACTTTGGACTTGCATAACCTAAGCTGGGCACTGGAAACAATTAGTTTAAGCTCATGCAAGTCTTCTTATCCTCCCATTCCAAGGTCCCCTTTTACCCTGAGGAAGCCTTTGGGAGTGTGGGGAAGCAGGGGTCTTTAACAGTATAAAATTGCAGGACTGCTGATGGCAATTTTACTATTAAAGGCTCCCCCTCCCTTCCTAAGGCTTCCCCATGGAAAAGGGAGGCCCAGAGAACCTCAGAACCTAAAACGGGGGGAGGGAGGAATAGAAAGCTTTCCATTAACTTAAACTACTTAAAGTAGACTGTCTAGAGGGGTGGGGTAGAAATCAAATAATAAAATAAGCAATCAAGATTATGCTGGTGTGAATTTATGCAACAGGGTTTTGCCCGTTATGTATTAAACATTTTACATAGCCATTTTGGAACGTCTGAAGCCTTCACACATCTTGGATTCAGTTGTTGGCTCCAACAAGAGTAGATCCATTGAATAAATGGCACATAAATCAGCACTTAGATAAGATCCATTGATTTAGTAGGTCTCCTCTAATTGAGGCTAATTGACTCACAGGACATAAGAGGCCTTTGCTGTATGATGTCTGTTCTGACTAGTAGCTCCTCTCCCAGGATCCTTTCCACAGAGACATTGGCAGCCAAAGTTTTCCCAACACCCAAGGCATGAAGCAAAGTGGAGATGATGGAAGGGGGGGAGGACAGGGATAAACCCCTAAAAAAGCAGGAGTATGCATTGCACAGTCAACTTCAACACTGCGTCTTGAAGTTGTGCAGAGGACTACAGTTTATGGTTATAGGTTTGTAAGAGCAACAGGTCAGCTGGATGCCAAACTGGTTATTCCCTGAATTCCTGGCTTTTGAGGATCAAGTAAAAAAAAAAAAAAAAAAAA